AGCTGCTGCGCCTCTTAGTGGGTGACACAAGTGTCAAATCAATAAAAATTGCCTTACTGTCATTTCTGTTAGGTTCTACCAAATCTGCTCTAATAATGAGTCGTTTCAGCCCAACGTGGTCGGGACTACAAACTTCAGAGAAATATGGGATTTAGAGTGAAGGATATTGGTCACGTGTGCGCTGTCTCTTGGCCAGGCTGTCCTCATCACTGATTCCTGCCATCAAATACTTGAGGCCTGTGATCCAGGTCCGTGCCTCCTCTCCAGTGCCAGAGACCAGGTCCAGAGACTCCACATGTTCTCCATAGTAGAGGCTGAAGCAACAGTTGGGGTCGAAGCTCCCCTCTGCATATCGCTGGAAGATCTCTGACTGTTTCCCCTCACAAACCTCACGGATGGAGTCGATGGAAACTAATGGACCAGAGAGAAAAAGAAGAGTTAGTGATAATATTCAAAATATACCTAGGATATATGATAAACTTATAGTACTTTAGGGTTTTAAACACTGTACACTAAAATACATTCAAGAAGGATTTGTGCTGAATGTGCATGGATTTATAAAAAAGGAAAGTGTACTTTGAAAATGAGTGCATTTAGTTTTTAAATGCATTTCATGAAAATAAGTTGCAACTCATGAGATTAAATGAAAAATTAAGTTTTTCAAATTAAATTTACATTTTCTTAGATTCTATATTAGTAGATAGTATAGTAGCAAACAAGTGTAATACAGTAAAAGAATCAAATAAAAATGTGGGGGAAAACATTACATTAAAAAACTAAAAACTTTCCTTTTATGTAATAATTTTAGTTTTACCTTGATTTTGAAAGATTGTTTTATTTAACTTTGGAAAAAAGTAATGGCTCCTTTTTTAATTTTTTCATCATTTAAAGAGGATTATAGAATACTGCACTCAATGAGGAGCACCCAGAGAGCTTTGTTTATGAAGATACAACATTTATGAGATGGTAATCACATCTTCCTGGAAGACACTGCCTGGAGATATTCATTAGTTTTCTCCATGACAGCAGCATGACGGTAAGTTGTTCCCTTTCCGCCGCAGCTGCTGTGCTACTTCGGACTTGTTCCTATGTTATAGGTACTTCACGCTACACACATTGGTCTGTTTGTATCCTCACCAAGTCATTTAGTCATACATTACTCTTCACGGATGAAACTTTCACATTCATATTCACATTCATAAAACATCACCACAAACAAACACGTAGACCTGCTCCCAGGCCGTTCAGTACTGAGGCCCCGGTTTGGTGGCATTTCTATATACTGTGTGTGTTTATAAATACACTCTTGGATGTCAGAGATGCATCTAACATGACAGTTAAGGAGCTGGTGCCGTGTTTCTCCTGTGTTCCCGTGTGGCTGTGGGTGATCCTGTGTAACCCCTGCAGCCTCGGATGACACGTGTGATCGACTACGTGTTCTTTTCCTGGATGCACTTCTTGAATCATGCAGTAGTGTACACCTGAAATCTGGGATTCCTGGGATTGTCACGAATATTTCAAAAACCATTATTAGCTGCTGAGGTCAGAGGTCATGTCATCTGAAGCTGGGTGGTTTTCCTGAACCTTATGACAATTTGTGCTTATTTATAATAAAATGTTCATTTTTAATATATAAATAATGTAACACATATGTACATACACGTAATGACAGACAAAAAAATTATATGAAATAAGTATACTATAAACCCCTGTTTGTTTTATAGAGCTGAATTTTCAAGGAGGAAGTTAATGGCATTGCTGCTCATTCACCTTTAGAAAAGAACCATTAGGAATAAAATGTCTGCTCAAAGACATGGAAAGTTACACTTTCCCATATTTGTGACCTTACAGGTTGTCTATAGACAACATGTAGCTATATTAACTGAAAACATTACATTATAAACCAACCAACATCAACCATTTGAAAGACGTGATTGTTGTTCTGCGACAACTATATTGTACATTTCTCGCCGGGCTTTTTAAATGCATTTATCCACCTGCTGTGCAAAAATTCGTGAAGGAACTCATCTAGTAAAAATAAATAAAACAGATGCTCCAAAAGTATGTCTTAATCTGATAAGCTCTATCACTTTACTGAATTTCTAAAACTCTAAATTAAAAAACAGCTTTTTGTCCCACCGCTCTGAATAAAACAAGGGTGTTTTGGTTTGTCTGTTTTATTTCTCACTCAGATTTCTGTTAAGTGCCTAAATTCTGTTTCCGTCTGGCAGCCATGTTTTCACACAGAGCAACTTTCCTGCAGCGTCTGGATATAGTGGGCGTACAGAGCACAGTCAGCACTGAAGACTTCAGAGCCCGGGGTAAGTGACACAAGATGAATAAAAGAAAGGGCAGATGTTCCAATCAGGTTGCTGAGTGTGTTGGCATCACTTTCATTTGGCCGTTTCAACGGTTTCTGCAGATTAATTCTGATGAATAATTAAGTTGACTTAAAGAGCTTATTAAATCTAGTGCTACGGAGGCACTGAGTGGAACAGGAAACTGAGCACCTAAGCTCCCCCGTGAGACAGCCGGTCATTCTAGAAGCTGCCACTAATAATGCCCTTCTGCTTTCTTTAGCTACCTGGAAACATATGACAGGAAAGTGTCTTGTTGACTAAGTGGCATTAACTGTGTTCAGAAAATAAATGTTTCCTCCTAAAACACCAAAGTCTTCAGCTTCAAGAACCCATGTGGGAGCAGAGTTTAATTCATCTAATGAAAAAAATGCATCAGATAAATAGGCTCACCGAGAAACACAAGGGCCTGAAACTAAACTGCTAAATAGTACCTGCCTAAATACTAAATTGTAAAAATGTTTATTTAAAGAAACCACTGAAAGAGATCATAGAGCAACCTTCAACAACAGTACTGTCAGGTTCTTTTATGTCATAGAAGTGTTAGTCTGACTTTGAGTCTCTCAGGACTCTTCGAGGACTTTGACAACTTTGGTAGGGATGTTTTCCATGAGTCTATACTACATATGAGAACCCAACAACTGAGAATATTCTGTTCTCTGGAGACAGTGACAGACACAGAGAAACTCACTCTTAGCCTTTTCATTCTTGCGTGAAGGTCTCCAGCGGATGCAGGACTTGTGCTCATCCAGATAGAAGAACCGCACCAGCCCCTTGGAGCCACCTCGCAGTTTCACCATCTGGGTTCCCATCTGCATGGAGCTCATACATTTCTCCACTGGAGGCAATAAAAAGAAGAAAGAAAGAAAGAAAGAAAGAAAAAATTATATACTGAAGTTGTCAAGATGCAAACACCTAGGAGTGTGTATACACTCATTGAAGCAAGGGAGTGTGTATGTATGCATTACTATGTACAATTACATAAACATATCCACTGCAAGGCAAACACATTGGACAGGCCTGTCACCGCAGACAAGAGGAGCGGCAACATGGGAGCAGAAACGTGTCACTTTGACACATTTCATTTTACTTCACGCTACATTAAAAACTCAAGGATTCAAATAAACCTAGTGGTGGGATATATTTCCCTACTTCCTGTTCTGGTGACAAAAGGCACCCACAGACTACTAGGAACTGCATCCAAGTTAATGTGCAGTGAGAAATTAGCTTAATTATCTTGGAATGAAAAATCAAATGAGTATTTGTGTGTTTATGTGTGTGGCTTTCATTTTGTTTAATATTGGTTATTTTTGTAAATGGCCAAAGTTCTAACTATTTATTTTAAAACCTCATTCAGCAAACTCCAAATTATTTCTGCACAGGTCTATAGTCACTGAGTTTTTGCCAACTCAATTCCGATCTCCTATGGTAGGAGAAACACCTAGCATGCTAGGGTCTAAGTCCTAACCTGTACAAATATTATTAAGTCAGCTAAATATGAACAGTTTTCTTCAACTACTTCAACTAAGTATTTTTAGACAAATGTTTTACTCATTAAAATGTGAAGTGTAAATGAAAGGCATGTGTTGTTTTAGTTTATTAAATAATAATAAATAATAATAAAAATTAGTATAAAAGAACCATATAATCAGTAAAAATATGGAGAAAGAAGGCAAAACTTGTGTTGAAAAATAAAAAAATAAAAAAGATAAAACATGGGTTTTAACTTGGATCACATTTTGTCTTTTTTGACCTGGAAGAAAGCCAAGCAACACCAAAAACATCAGAGTAAGCAATGTAAAGCAGCAGTGATGGATTGCTCTCAGTGAGCATTGATTTGACATTGCTGTGGTCTCACAAACAGCCCAGCCCCAGGGCATTGTTAATGTAGTTCACTCCTGTTTCTGCTAACCTCTGCTGTCCAATTCAAACCCACATCAGCAAAGAGCACAACTCCAGTGTAAGGTTTGGTCCATGTTACACAGTAACAGCAGTAACATCCTTCTCACTCTTCAGTGAATGGAGATCTGCATTGCGTACAAGGGTTTTACAATGCATGACAAAACAATTTAAGGAAAGTGTAATGTGCTCCAATAAAAGCTGTACAGATGGAGAAAACATCAGTATGACATGAACATTGCACAAGAAGCACATTAAGATGATGAATACCAGGACGAGAGCGGGCAAAGAAACCTTTGTATGTGCGTGTGGCATCCATTCAAGCTGTTGGTCACACCAAGCGCTGGCTATTGGTGCGCTCTAGCATTAGCCCCGGGCAATTAGTCACAATGAAAACCATATAATATAAGGAGGAAACAGTGAATGCATCATTGTGATTCCAAATGTTTTCGACCAGGAGAGTTTGACAACTGCACGCTTGTTACATGCATGAAGTGAATCAGCTAGCAATGAACCTAAATTCAAACTGCGGAATAGTTAACTCAAACCTTAAGCTCACAAACAAAAGATAACCACACCCACACAGATGAAACTTTAAACTTCTGGAGATTTCACAAACAACATGTCGGTCACTATTTAAAATCAGTATTAGGCAGCGTGAAAGCTGTTGACACACAGAAGGTGTTGACACAAAAAGTAATTTTTTGTTTTTAATCTAACCCTTTCTAATGTGTGGCCTGTAACATCCCAACACAACAGCTGGTCATTTAGCAGCTCTTGTTGGGTCTTGAGGGTTTATTTGGCATATTTTCACAGTGAATGGCTTTATCATACAGGATTTGTCATTTGCATCTCCCAAGATGTAATATGTAAAATCTGAGAACAACAAAAAAGAAAGCAAAACAAAAAAAACATTGAGACATGACACACCAACTGCCATGACAGACAGAGAGGCATATGCTCCCAACAACTCAAGTGTCAGCTCTATCCATAAAACCCTGTCTATTTATGGATGTAAATATTTAACAGAATGGTTGTCAAGTATTTCACTGCATCACTCAAACGACTGGTTGCAAAGTTCTGAAGTAGAAAAAGACGAACAAGAGTTCCAAACAACTGTCAGAAAAACTCTCGCTCTTATTTTAGACATGCACATGCATTTTTTTTTTACATATAACAAAACAACAAAAATGAAGGATTGAGCAGAGCTGGATTCTCTATTTTGTGAGCCTTTACCTTTAAATTCTGGGAAGACCAGAGGATAGCTGTCAACAGCTGGGCAGTGAGGAAAGAAATAGCTGACAGTATATCTGCAGATTCTGACAGGTACATACTGAAGGGATGGTATGGAAAACTGACTGGACAACGGACGATAAACTAGTGTCCAACCACGTATGCTTGAACATAAAGGAAAAACCTGAATGCCAAGGATGTACCTGAGTGTTTACTAGTTAGGTTTATCACGTTTGTTACTTTGTTGATATGAAGACACACAAAAGTTGTCAGGCCTCACTGGCTGTCAGCCACATGCTATTAAAGATAACTTAAAGACAATTTTCTATTGACTCGCATATGCTGCCATGAATGTGTATACATAATATATGTATTCATATATTGTGTTCATTTAGTGATGTACTTAAAGAGCAGCTGTGCTTAGACTTTAGGTTGTGTACGAAAACGTACAAGTAAAGCAAAAAAGATCCTTGCACAAGTAGGAGCAGTAGTACAGGATTGGCGCAATTTGACTATTTACAGATTTTAGCACATTATAAAACATCTATAAAACAACTCAAAATCAATATGACCAATTTCTCCTTTACCTTTACCGTATCCTGTGTCACTAACAATTTGTGAATAAAGACTGGATTAACAGTAATTGCACAGCAACCACTTATTGATTTCATGTGAAAGGTTGTTGCTAAAGCTGTTTGCTGATTGTATTGCCTGATGTTACTGGCTGTAATAGAGGTGAGTATGTGCCCTTCCTCAGCCACAGCGGAGGCAGTAATCCATGAAATGAGCTGCTGTCAGAGTTTGGTCCAAATGAGGGCACACAGACTCTGTAGGCCTCACCGTTCTGGCACACAGATGAAGACTATCTCCTCACAGGGATCTAAGTGACTCGTCATCCTCTTCCTGTCAAAGATTGAGCTGCCGTGTGCACACTAACAGCCATCACAGCCTCAGACTGGCCAACACTAACAGGTGACCATGAAGACCGACAGCCCTGGCCTCAACACAGCCTCATCTTATTTAGAAATGGCCATTATGGATTAATTGATTGTTACAGTTGAGCAGCATTATGTGTTCGATTCCAACAGTGCACTGAAACAGAATCATTCCAAACGGCAATAAAAGTTAATCACTCTCACGTGGAAGTAACTCTCGTTTGTAGCTGTGCTGAACTAAATTAGTCACAGCCGAGAAGGCACAGAAGGTGTCCGTGCTTGGCTTGTGCTACTCCTGCCAGAATGTAAAAGCAGAAGTGTAACTTTTATCAGAAACAATCCCAAAAATATTTCTTTCTACAAGGGATTTTAGAGTTGCTGTATCAGGTTTGTTTGATGTGTAAATTATTCAAATATAAGTTTATACAGTATATTATTAGAAAAGGAAACTCAATTCTTGAGAAGGAAGCGAGGCAGTAAAAAGAAGCGTTGTCAACAAAAAGACAACAGCAGTTCACAACAGCAGTTAACACATGTACGACACCTTGTAAACACTAAAGAGAGAGCAGCAAAAGTAGAGCAGTAGACAATCAGATAAGCAGAACACTCCCTACTGTAGTAAGGACCTGGGGCTGTTGCCATGGTTACAACATCAGATTGAATGTGCGGTGATGAATAGAAGTTTCACATTCACTTTATGTTGGAGAGGCTGGAAGCAAGCCAAACTTGTCCCTAAAAAACTTGGTTAATGAGCAAAGAACACGTCTAGCCTGGGTGACAACTACACATTAATTCCACCTCCCGGCTGTATTATCGCTGTATTAGTAACATTGTAGGCCTTATAGACGGATGCTATAAATAGCTACATATGGAAGAAAACTGGAGAATACATCACTAGAATATCCATTTTCACCAAAGTTTCAACGTCTTAACATTCTGACATAGGAACTCGTTACATGAAATCAAAAGAAGTAGTAATGACTGCAGCTAACCACTCAGCTCGGCACCACTCATCGTCCTGTCCAGAATTCGGACAGTGGTCTGTCTGTGCTCATCAGATCAATTCTGTTTTTAAAGCCATTTCACCAAAAACACTGAACACATTTAACAGGGATTAGCATTTCAGTTGAACGCCGCATCTGCTCAAATCATTTATAGTGATTAGGCAGAAAGTGGACCACAGGTTAGAGGCAATGGTTTGGGTTCCTGTCAAATTATTGCAGGAGCTAAGTCTAAAAAGATCATCACCTCAGGCCAGTGGCACAGTGACCTGTTTGGCTGCTGTCCTGCTTAAGCCAAAACAGTTCCAGGTTCCAGGTTAAGCCCAGAGAGGATTGTCTCGTGGCCATATGTTGTTCACACGTGGACAGAGGATTCTTTGGGGCAGGAGGTCATGATCGCACAAACACACCTTACTTTGCTGATTTATTAGACCATAGGATTCTAAATGTAAAGATTAAAGCCTGTACAAATATAGCTTGATTGCAAGTTTTCACAATATATATATATGACATGAAAAATCAAAGTGCTTGTACTGTAGGAAGTCAGGCTAAAAAAAATTATATTGATTGAAAAAAGTTGATTATTTTGGATAAATAACCTACACTTTGCAGAGCTTATTAATTCCTAACGATCACTGACCACACAGTCCCCTCCAAGTTTTTGCATGACCATGGATGCAATATCCACATTCATCAAACCTTTAACCATCTGGTGGAAACACTTCTGCCTACACTGCTGGCTGACAGAAACCCCAGAACCCTCACCCTAA